GCTAAGAAAATGACTCAAAAAATTAAGAGACATGAAACAATGAAAACCACTATGATAAGTTTCTGGTATTCTGCTGAGAGATAAAGTGTCAGAATATGTGAAATAAGTATATGAGAAGCAATGTCATTAAGGTAGAAATGTATGTGCTATAAGTCTCTTATTTCCTAGAAGAAACAAGGGACCCTTTCTTGTCTCCTCTGCGGGCATCTATACTTATATCGAGCCAGAATGGTGGCACAAAAGTAGAGACAGAAATTCCAGAGCAGTCTAAAATGGAGCAGGAAGTGCAGTACCAAAGTTATCAGTGCTATTGTAATTGTTGTTATGGATGGCTGCGCTGTCTGTGCCAGGAGTGTGCACCAAGGAGCTGGGAGGGAACCCTGCTAAGGGCAGCAGGCTTAGGATGGGTAAGGATGCTGCTCAGGGCTCCTTGGCAGCAGGACAGGGTGGAGTTGGTGACGTGGTGTGGCACTTCCACCCTCTGTAATTGCGTACTTTACAGTGGGAACCCATCTGGACTTCTTGAAGAGAAGGGAGGAAGGGATGGAGGGAGGGACCTATTGCTTCCCACTGCCTTGGGAACCATGTCTTGCCCAGCTCTCTGGACCACAGGCAATATTACCAGTGTATACATCTTCCTAATTATTGTTCTAATCCGGAAATCAACCAAATTACTCCCTTACTGCAAATTATATCCTTACTGTGATACAATGTATAAAAAAATTAAGATGTAGTTCAAATGTAATTAGGTGTGAAACAAAATTACTTTAGAGACAAATAAAACAATCTTGATAATAGACTGGTTTCACTAAGGGTTGTTTGCTAATACATAGGTGGGCAAAGAGAAAACCTGTGCAGAGAAAGCATGCATTAAATGGTGGCATTGACATACTTGGTAGTGGAAATTCTTTCTTCCTGTTTAATAAATATGCCCTGTAGGATCAAAAAAGCTACTGGTTTTTCTGAGAAATACAGGGCTGTGTTATAAATGTCTAGGAGTGATAGATAAAATTAGTTATTTGAGAAATGTCTCAAGAAATTTAGATGTAGCCAGAGATACATGGCGTTGTTGGGAAGGAGAATTAAGAAGTGAATATAATGCTGTACAAGAATTAAAGTCTCTTTTTATCTTTTTTTTTTCTGAGTTTCTTGTTTTAAAATATGTAATTGATAAATTATTATAGGGAGTAGTAAATTTTAGAAAAATTCATTACTTGGACCAGTATTTGTTGTAATAGAAATCTTTATTTGTATTTATAGAACAAATAGTCAGTTTGACTAGCTGGGTAAGCAGTTTAACTGTTTTAAGGCCTGCATGCTCTAGAAATAGAAATCAGTGATGGAGAACATGGTAATTCAGTGTTCTATTCCATTGCAGGTATGCAAGTCCTAAAGTGCTAAGTGATATTTTCTATTTGAAAAGCAATTCAAAGACAAACGGTATTTATGATTGTCAAATAAAATATACCAAATTTAATGGGACTTTTGTAAGTAAATGACTGAATGCCTAAGGGTGCTCTGTGTTTGCTTTCTTAAACAGCAGAAAACATCTGGACTTTACTTGTCTGGAATATTAAAAGAAAAAATACTGCATGAAAGAGAAAATCAGAGACCAGAAGTTCCAGGCATGTAGCCAATTTTGTATTACAAAGATTGTGTAGCTGATTCAAGGATTAGTGTGCCTCCAGGATATTTTTCCAAACAGAGACACAGGGGAAATTAGGAAGAATTAGCCAAAGGTGTGAAGTTAGACTGCAGTCTATTACATCTGAATGGACATTTCTTGTCAGAAGCATGGTCTTGAGTTATTTTAGTCAAGTAAACCTTTGTGTGAAATAAACAGCAGTGTAAGAATTGGATGATACAGCTCAGTTCACACCTTCAATTAGTTCATTTTAATTTTATTAAATGTCCTTTTGCAGATGGGTCTGAATTTTTGGTCAGTGATGTCATAATGTCGCGCGGGAGAGCAAAGGAGAAAAGGCAACAAACCCAGTTCAAGCATTTAAGGCTTAGTAGGGAGCCAAGTGAAGTCTCTAAAGGTGTTGAAGGTTTGACGATATAAGTGGGTTTCCCCACTTTATGCATGAAAAACAATAATAATAAAAATCTGTAAAATCCCACATAATTACTAAGTGTATAAGAATTTATTGTCTCTCAGGGCTTTAGTGCTTTTGCTAAAGAAACTAAAGCACAATATCACAAATCAGGTTCTAAGTCATTGACTGAGGTGTGATGCACTCCTATTGTTTCTTCTCCTGGACAGTGTGCTGGACTCACATCTTTATGCTCTTAATGACTACTCCCATTTCATATATTTGTAAATGTCAGATTCTCTCATCTGTAGCAGTCAGCTCATAGAGCTCAGTTTATTTAACTCTGAAGAAGTGACTGCAATCACTCTTTCACTGAGGATGAAAATATCAAATACAATATAGTAACTTCTTTTTCAAGAAAATATATATACGTTTTCTGCTGCCTAATCTCCTTAAGATCTATCCTGGTTTTTTTACGGTTACTATGGAGCCAGTTATTCCAAAGTATAATTTATTTTTTTTTACACCAGGAAAAAAAAATCATTTGCAAGAGTAGACTTATAACAGTGTTTGAGTTTTGCATTTTCAAGAACATACTATCACATACTGTGGAAACATGAGCCAATTAGACAAAATCCATGTCTTCTTAGTTTGTTTTATATTGATTTCCTCTGTTGTCAGCTGACCTTAACAACAGGGTTCAGATCAGTTTAAACATCCAAGATTTATGATGCTTTCACCTGTTAAGAATGGTAACAGAACGCAAGGACACTGTCAAATAGATGGACAGGAAATGTCTAGAAATGGGACTGAATGGAATTAAAGTACCTCTACGGAAATTTTTTCTGTATCCCTTTTCTAAGGGAATTCAGAGCTGCTAAACAGCAGTTTCACTCTGAAAACCAGTGCAATAAGACAATAAATGCTGAAGTCAGTCATGTCTCCAGCAAAAAGTATACTCAAGGAATATAAAAGTAATCAGCAAAAGACTTATTCAATATGTTAGAAATACCTATAAATAATCTGGTATTTTGGTTTTGAGAAGTTTAGGAGGACCTATTTTCTTTTCTTCTTTTTAATGGTGAAAGTTAAAATTCTATTTGAAAAAAAGTAACAAAAGCAAGACAAAGATTCTAAAGAAATTGACGTGACCCATGTTTGTAAAAGCTTGTTAATTACTCTTCTTTTACTGAATTTGCACTCTGGCTATGGAACACAAAATATTCCTGAGATATCTTACTACTGCATTCATATGAACAGGGGCTGATTCAATGGGTAGCAGCCCAAAAAAGACATTTGATCGAACGTGTTTCTCTTCACCAAATTCATTGTTCAGGTGGAAACAGGACCTTTACAAATCCTGTCCCAGATTATTAAATACATAATATTGCTGAGAAATACTGTACTTCAGTGTCTGCTTGGGGACATGTTTTTCAGGTTTCCTAATTCTCATATGTGAGAGGAGATCCCTTATCTTTCCTGGCTGATTCAGTAATATTCGTTGGAAGAGAGCTGTTGGCATTCCCATTTTTCAGCTGCAGTTTCTCTCTCTTTTTCCCTTTTTTAAAGGAGCTTAAGATCTCATTGTTTATGTATTTAATGCATTTTCTTCAACACAATCTTTATTGTATTTCCCCCTGGAATTGGTGAACCACTCATTTTCTTTTGTGAGTCATTTAGTCATTTGTTATATACATAAATAATATTTCATAGGATGAATTCAACATAACAAAAAAAAATTTAAAAGTTCTTTCAATATAATTAAATAGGCAGTAATTTTCTAAATTGCTCTAAGGTGTCAGTGCAGTCATCATCATGGAAAATTTATTGTTTGTGTCACTTACAAATTGAAAACTGCTTTGCTCTTTTCTACATGGATTCCAGCTTTTCTAAAAGCTTCCAGCTTTTAGACTAAATGCGTCCCTATATTCAGGCTTTTATAAACTCACATATAGAGATTTTTCAGCAGCTTTTAATTTTTCAGCTGGATATCAGACAGTAATAGAGCACACTTGGTTCTTGATAACCATACTTCTAGAAATTCTATGGGTTTGGGGGATTTTTTGGTTGTTTTGGTGGGGTTTTTTAATTTTTCCATCATATTTGAAAGGTATTGTTTCTTTCACATTGCAAAATCAGATTCCAGCTCTGTAGGGAGACAAAACTGAGAGACAATGAGAAGGATGAGCACAACAAACACAAGGATGTTCAACGATGAACACACTTTCTACCTTGAATTGTGCTATTATAAACACTTCAGAAAAGCATCCAGATATTTTCCTTACCAGATAGACAATTCCTTGGTTTATATGTGGCTGTATACCATCAGTGCCTACCTTGGTATTTCAGGCTAGTTCAGATTACAGTTGTAGCTGGGCATCTTTTTCAGATAGAGGGGAAATATTTGCATTTATTTGGATAATTTCTAATATACTTCAGAAGTTAAAAACAGTTTAGAAATAAAAAAGCATCAAAGTTGAAATATTTTCTTTCAAAATTTTCAAATGAAAAAAAAATACTATTTTAAACTCACCTACCTACTTGGCTCAATTTTTTTCCTTTCCCTCTGTCTTTCTTTTTTTAACTTTGAATTTGCTGAAACTATACCCAAATTCAAGAAATTACTTTTCTTAGAAAAGTTATTAATTCCAACTGGTTTTGCTTGTGATGTTGGAAGCTAGTTGGCTGATTCATCCGCCGATGAAATGGCGAAAGTGACTCTATTTCCTTCATTACGTTGTCAAAGACATTGTGGATTAATTTAGTGACATCCATAATATCCTGTACTACTGAAATGGGTATTCAGTGATGTACTCCTAAATCCCCTAATTCTAACATTATCCCATTTTGAAACATGCACTTTTCCCCCTACATTGGCACTGTAATTTTCTGTAGTCAAGAACAATAAGTCAAACTATTTCTCCCAAATTCCGACTGATTTTTATCATCCCCTCTCTCTTACAGCTATGAAATGCCTATGAGTAAGTGCTGAATGTTCAGCATTTCAGAAGGAAAATATTTTCATTGAAGCAGATGTTTCTCAGATTCTTCAGGAGCCTAAAACATTTCCTGAAAGTGTTGCTACTCTCCACAGGGTAAGTAAAAAGTTTATAAAAACAACTATTTCTTTTAAATGGGTACTACTACCAGTATGATTTTCTGGACAACACAGTAAAATAAAACTACCTTTTATATGAAAATGAGCAATTAATGTACAGAAGACATTTATTTCTTCAAACTGAATGTTCTGCTACAATCATAAAAATGGATCAGGTGTTCATTAGCTTGTTTATGTGAACATCTGATTAAATGCTTTCATCACATCAACCTTCCTACTATGGCTTTGGTAATTACTAATGAGTTGGGGTTTTTAAATTTCATAAGTCTCTGAGGAAGTACTAGCATATGAGACCCTATCATTAATATTTGGAAAATTTCACTGAAATGAACCTATGAACTAATAATTCAGCATTAATCATCCATAACATTATAGTGGCATGTAATAGATTTCAGTATGAGTACTAGGTACTTATGAGTTGCAACCCACTGAAACAATGTGTCTTTCCCACAAAGATATAATATCTAATTAACTAAAAAATAAGTGCATTTTTTTTCAGAATTAAACATAAGTGACATGAAACATTACAAAAAGAAATAAGTGGAAGCTCAAATTATGAAGTAGAGAGCCCAAACATCTTATGTAAAAAGAAAAAGGCTTAGAATATAAAAGCAATAAGGAAATAGTATAATAAGTTTTGTCTGTTCACTTTGTTAGTTTTACTGAAGATGTTGCTTGCAATATTAGCTAGTGATCCTCTATAGGACACACTGCATTAGTTACCTTTATCAGCCCCTCAAAAATACTTGTAGTAAGAACATTAAGACATCAGAAACAGCCCTCTTACAAACTGAAATGTTTATTTTACTGTTATCACTGTAACTCAGTTTCTAGATTCAGACTCCTCCTTTCTTTTTAGACACCTTAGTTTAATTGAGAAAGGTTTCAGACCCATAAAGGCAATAGCTTTGAACTGTGAATGGAAACTACCTTTGTATCTACTGGCATTGCATTGCTGAATATTATTATTCTCTTATATTAGAGATCAACAATTAACAGGTTATACAGAGGCTTGACTATAAGCTTCTGGTTTATCCTCAAAAAGCTGTAGATGTTTTCCTCCTTTCTCTTCTGCCCCCCTTTTTTTCTTCCTATTTTAATTTGTGTTTTCTCAAAGTTCCTAGTAAAAGATGCTAAATTCTAAGAGCAAAAGAGAAATTTTATGCCTGGACTGCTCTAGGGCCAGTGTAGATGCATTAATTACATTAATTGTAAGTTGACAATCCTAGTCCTTAGCCGTCTGGGGCCTTATCCAAGGCTCACTGACGTCAATGGGAACGTTTCCACTGCCTCCATTTTGGCTCAGGTCCTAAATTTCTGTGGCAAAATATAATGCTGTGAGCTAAGCTGTCACAAAAAAAATATGTACTGCAACTCTTCAAATCTCAAAATAGCAGAGTATATACAGAATTCACAGTCAGAATTGTATTGCTGTTGTTCTGAGATGCTTAAGCAGAGAGAATACTGCTGTTTTTACCTCCAAATTACTGGCTTTCTTTTACAAAATAAAATAATGTACCTCAGTCACGTATGTTCTGTACAGGGAGAACAAATTCACTTTAAAACTGTTCCATGATGCAGCTTCTTAGGCAATTCTAATGAGATTAAGAACATTGAAAGGATGATGAAATAACTCTTGTGCTTCTCAATAGTAAATTCAGTAGAAGAATTAACACAAATACTTCTCTGCTCAGTTGCCATAGAGCCATTTCACAAAAGTGAAGTGCAATTTTTCCCTCGCTGTTTCTGAGTAAAATGATTCATGCAGTCAGAGAATTTAAGGATAACATGGATTATTAGTAGTGTAGCTTCCTGAGTACTATACCATTCTATATCAAAATTCCTGCTTACTGCCTTTTTATTCATTAGAACTTTTTAATGACTCATCTGGATCTGTGCTTAAAGTAACAAGGCTCCTGCATTGATACTTGCAATCTAACATGGCTTGTCTCTTTCATCAGCAACCACTAATTAACAGTAATTGTTCTGTATTAAAAAATATAACAGGAATACACTGAAAAGGTCATAAAAGATAATTACACCTCATTATAATATATATAATGATAGCTTGTTAATATTTTAACATGAAGCTTACAAAAATGTAACCTGTTCAGCTCACTCTATGACTAAACTTGTATATTGTACAATTTCTGGCTTTCAGGAAAGACAGAACAGATCTTCATTTGGAAATGAAGCATCTCGTGATGAAAAAAATTTCGGTGAGACATTTATGTCTGACATTATGATAGCTTTGAAAGACATGTACTAAAATTGGATCTGCCAATGAGTATGGGGTTTGTCACATTTCTTTCCACTTTAGAATTGCAGCTTTTTGGAGTCAGTGAGTAAAACATTATACTTACCATAGTTAAGAAACTTACTATCCTCTGGGCTGGAAAAGGGTGATTTAAAGAACTTCCAGTGTTCTTGTAACCACAGGAATGTTATTTAACATAATTTAGCAAACTGGGGAGGATAGCACCAAAAATGGGCAATGTTGCACAATGGATTTGGGGGAAAGAAACAAGGTTGGGCTCTCAAATTTCTGCATGATTTGGGAATCTGGCATAAAGCTCACTTTTTTAACAAATTGGAGACAAATGGAGTTCAAGAGCTAAACACTGCACATGATGACTTGGCATCGTATTACGCACAAGCTGTGACTCATGAGGTACTATATGAACCATTTTTAATTAGTTAATTATTTTCCACTCACCGTATATGAAACTTTACAGTTTCAGAGCATGATTCACTCAGTTTCTCAATTACAGTAAACCAAAAATGCAAGGTTTCATAAAAAGATCAATAATAGCAAATAAGGAGACACAGTTCCCCTGAGAAAAAGATAAAAGAAATCCTCAGATATTTTCTGTGAATATTTCTCTTTTTTTTTTTTTTTCCATTTTACGGAGTGGGATTTTTGCAAGTGTTCATTCACAGGCTGTGCAAGCTATTTATAGCAATTTTACTGCTGTGGTAACACCTCAGCAAACACTTTTTTCTTTGCACATTTCTTTCCTAAGACTGTCTGGCCTATTTTAGACCACAAATAACTTTGCTGCAGCTGTTGCATGTGACCAGTTTGTCTCCCACGCACTCCAGTCTCAAAACTGCAAACTCTTCTTTTTCTGCAGAATTTCCCTGAGAAAAAGTCACCAGTACATCTGAAATAGGGATACAGTGTCCCAGAGAGGGGTGCCATGGATAAAGCAGGAAAGGGTTATGGATATGAACCTTTGTCTCCATGAAATACCTCAAAATAGTATTTCATGTATCAAGTTGCTCATGGGAGCAATGTAAGTGCAGGTTTAAGGCTTTCAGACATGGTCCAGGAACACTTAAGCATCTGTGGATTTAGAGTAGATCCTCAGAAGTCTGTTTTCAGAGATGATATGTGTGTGTGTTTTCATTCTGTGAGTAAGAATTTGTAAGGGTCCGATCTGGTGCAATAAAAAAAGCAAAAAACCAGATCTGATACAGAAGTGTTTTTTACATAAGAATGTTGGTCCTTTTGTCAAACAAACAAACAAATGCTGCTCAGAAAACAACTTAAAACAAGAATGATAGTTTACAGGGCAGGAATTTGTTTGGGTCAATTAAATCAGAAGCCTATCAGGTTGTCTGTTTTGGCTGGGTTTTCTCCCACTTGTTCTCCATCTATGTTACAAAATTAAGCTCTAAACCTAAGCTTTAAAAATAAGTCTTTTCAAATTGAAATGGAAAAGTGTTTTTTAAATGATGGCTTAATGTTACTGAAAATTCATAGGCATTAAGATGCCCTTTTCCCCTGGGAGAAGATAAATTCATGCTGAATTCACTCTGTTTCTAACCAGCAAAAGTGCATTGGCTTCTGGTTTTTTTAATCCTGATTTAGGTGGTTATATCCAAGATTATGGTCATATGCTTAACAAATAGAACTGCAGGTAAATCTAAAGCTTAATTTTTGACAAGTAAACACTAAAAATTCAAAGCACAGATATAACAATTATAAATTCTGTGGAGTAATGGTCTACCAATCTATAGACAATCAAATATGACAAGCATGAAATTTTAGAGTAAAATATGCAGCATTGAAGATACACTACATTGATTTGCATTCCCAGGCTGTGTAAGTCAAACTACAGGGAAATCACTGATGATTGTTTAAAGGCTTTTTGTTTTCAAGCTGGCTGCAAGCATACAAAATCAACTCTTGATTGCTCCTCTTGATACTACACTTGTACTTAATCTTTCAATGAACAGCAGTATACAGGAAAAGTAATGTGGGGAAAGCACTTTAGTGACTGATCCTGTATTCTAAAATGTGAGACTGAAAAAGAGTTACAGAAAACATTTGCCCATTTTTTGGGATGACACAGTGATTTTAAATTCACAAGTCTTTTGGAGAACATAGCAATATTGTATATGCTAGTGCTGCTTTTATTCACAAAGAGATAAATATAAGAATATTATTTTCACTGTAATGAGTTTTTGTCTTTATATTAACTCCGTTTATAAACAGTAATATAAGTCTTTGCTGAAAATTCTCCAAGGGTAAGATAGAAGAACCTTGAACATTTTTTAATGGTGTAGGTTGAACTGATGGAATGAAACTCAGGTGGCTTCACTTTATAATGTGGGATCCTGAACTGGCAGCTTTAGAACTGTCTAATAGTCTGAGTGTCAGAGTCATACATTGGAGAGGATCTTTTGCAATTGCCTTCAGAAACAATAGCACAGATAGAATGGCAGTTTGGATATGTGATTGGAATATCATTTCAATGTCATTTTGAGCATTCCATACAAGATCCCTCAGTGGTTTTTAAAGAAATTTAATTTTAGACAAATTTCTTCCATCTCATAAGATTTCTTTTAAAATATATTCTGAAGTCTTGTTTCACAATTGACTGAACTGGTCAAGGTCTGAAAGAATGATGTTTTAAGAAACCTCTTTTACATGATTGAAAACTGTTAGGAAAGCTCAGGTTTCTGTAAAGTAATTCTTATTGAGCAACATTTTCCTAGAGAAATCTGAGGTTCACCAGGGGATAGGATATTAATGTTATCTGAAGATAACTAGACAGATTTAAGAGAGGACTTCAAGAGTTAGTGTGAGAAGGCAGAAAAATACTGCATTTTTACAAGCAGAAGGTAAACCTGATCCAAGAATAAATTTAAAATACTGTTCTGGTGCAAATCAAAAGTTTCATATATTAAATACTTGAGGATAGACCATGACAGAAGCAAAAGGCTCAGTATGTCTTGAGTCATCCAGCCTTCTCTCAAGAGCTTGAAGTGATGCACTGTGGCCACAGCTGAACTTTGGCACAGGAGCTTGTTTGTCACTATCCATGGTGCTGTTGGACAGTGTCTGAACACGTTGTTAACCAGCAGGATGGGAATCATCACTGTTAAGAGCAGTCATTCTTATTTTCATCAATATATTATGACTACAATCTTCAGATAAATAATATATTCCCATCACAATATGTCATTCGCTTCCTTTTAATTTTTTTTTTGTGTCAAACATACTGCCAGACACTGCTTTGATTTCTCTATATTCAAAACATTGATTCTTTATAAAAGTGTCTAAGTTTTCAACTCAAAGGCTTTTAAGGGTAACTATTAAACACAAATCTATGAATCTAATTAAATTTCTTTATTGACATCTAATGTCTGTAATTTACTTTAGAAAACATATTTTATCTCCTCTGAACAAGGAGAAGGCAAGAAGAGGTGGAACCATGGGTGTTTGGAAGGGTGTTAAGTAAATGGAGACTGAAAAGAGCGAGGTACACACAGGAGAAAGCATAAAGATGAGTGAAAAGGGAGACAGAAGCTAAAATAAAGTGATGACAACAGAGTAATGAAATTCTAGGAAAATAAATAAAAAAGAATAGTGCACTCCTCTGCCTAAGTGCCAGGTTCTTCTAGTTCTATTTTTTTCTATTTTATTTTTTCAGTTGCACCAATCTCAATATTTCTTCACTCCTATCACCTGTCAGCACTACCTCTCTGTGGCATCCTTGATCCTTCTGTCCTCTTAAATTTTATTCCTAGTCCTTTCTACCATCTATTTCCCTAAGACAGGTTAACTCTTCATCAGCACTTCTTGTTTTGTGTCAAAGGTGGAGACATGTGCAAACACTGGACTTTCACTGGGTTTGGGTGTGTTGGTCACACCAGTCACCATGCTCACATTGATGAAACAGATGGGAGATCATGTTCAGAAAACACAGAGTGAAATGGATGTGTTGTCCAAAGAACGTGGTATAGAGTGCTCTTGGGAATGATTTCTTGCTGCCAATTTGTTTTGTTTCCACATAGCAATTACAGTAAGTTTCTTCTGAATTCCTTCTAACACTCTGAGAAAGAGACCAAACCTTTCAGCTCAGGGACTTTCCCAAATTCAGTCAGACAATGGGACTTCAGTACAAGCTTGTGCTGGTTTTTCCAGACTACAGACAAGTTCAGTTCATGACTGTTGGAGATTACTCATGTGTACATTTTTCTTTCTAAAATCTGTCATTATTTCACTTTGAATTCTTGAAATATATCTTACTGATTTGATGGCTGAAAGCCAGTTTTATACCCTTTGTGATCCTCACTGTCTTATATCAATGAGAACTATCAACAACAGCTTACTTCTTTTTCCCACTAGCCTAGTTTTATGGTTTATGTATTTTAGATGCAAATCTTGATGGCATCATGTTCTCTTTTAGGTTTTTAGAAGCAAACAATTCAGAATGTGAAACATTTAGAGGCTTAAGGTTAGGAACATGACACATTTGTAAGATCTACTTTTCCTTTGAAACAGCTCAATTTTTATTAAGCACTTGAAGCCATTTGAGCCCTACATAACACAGCTGGATAGTACCTATAAAATCAGATGATAAATGGAGCTGGTTCCAAATATTTCAAAATACATTCTGATATAAAATTTATCTCTTTAAAATCAAATTATTAAAATCTTGTAACCTTTCAAATATCTACAAGGACATGTAGCATGTTTGAAACCCATGAATTATTAAAAAGTATATTTCCACCATTCCTTACTGGAAACCAAAGTTAAAATTATCCCTGAAATCACACCAGTAATAAATTTAGGATTATTTTTGAATGTTTCTGTATATTACTGATTTAAATACTTATAAAATGCGAGGAAATGTATAGTTTGTATTTTGTGAGAGCAGAATATTTCAGAATTTGTGGACACTTTGTGGTCCATTGGACTGTATTG